TTTGCCCTTATGGAAAATAATGGGGCTTCAAGAACGCCCTGTTATTAGTCTTGTCTCTCTAACTGCCGATTACTTTCGGCATCAATAGCAAACTGGGTTCTTTACAGTGTTTTCCAGCGTCGCATATTGTAGATTTGCCAATTTTTTTTACTTTTGGTTTTGATTTGCTTTCTTTACTGAACTGAGCTGCCCGAGTGCCAGTTCGAATTCACCTCAGCTTGATCTTTGAGACGTTATGTGAAACAGGTTGCGGAAGAGGGGGATGATCGGTGCAAGGAGAAGCCGAGTAAATTCCTGTCGGTCCTCCGGAGAGGATATCATTGAAGCGCAGGAGCAAGTATCATGATGCTTAGCGCAAGTCAAGTAGGCCTTTATTTTTTTTCTGCATGTAAGATTTGTACAGTCCCGGTAGCTGAGAGGAACACACAGTGTATCGTTGCTTCTCCTTGCATATATTATTGATTAGTGATGTAGTTAATATCACTTACCAAGACATTTTCTTTTCCCATACGACTTGCAGTTCCCCTTTGAATGCCGTTCCATCGGCGACATGTATTCTTAGGTTATAGTCATGTCGACCGCCCCTTATGTAAAGCACCATGAAATCTTTCCGTCGCGAATTCCCCTGGATGCGTGCTCAATCGCTTTCGGCCCACCGTGATATCTGGAGAAAGCTCTCGACTCTTCTTTCTTTGGCTGGTAGATTTGAGAAGCGAAACGAATAAAAAATGAACTTCTTGTCTTTAGGACAGTCATCTAGAAAGGAGAGACATGTGAATGAAGTTATAAAGAGAAAATGATAGTGGACGACTCATCTACTTATGGCTCAAACAATCCGGCACCCATCGTGAAGAAAACATTTCGATTCATCTAGATTTTCGGGAAAATCTATAAATATCATCGTACGCGATCCCTGCCCGCCAAAAATGCGAGGGAAGAACTTATATTCCTCGTAGCATCTCTCTACGTCTTAAGGCAAAATCGAAGCACTCCTCGACCACACCAAGCTTGGTAAAATCGAAGCACTCCTCGGCCGCACCAACCTTCGAAGCTCGTATCGGCTCGGCTTTAAGGCGGGTGAGAATTAACCTATGTATATTTATAAAAGAATAGGCGAAATCGTAATTTGAAGCGACATTCCACAAATCCATAGTGATTTCTTTCCAAAGTTTTTTCGACATACGCATACGTGCCTACTCTTTTGGCTAGCCTTTCATAGCTCCGACTGCACGGGACCTAACCATGTTCGATGCTCCCAATTTTGTATGGGAGAGAGCTTAAGAAGCGGAGCAGGAGGAGAGACGATGGAGGTCACACGTAGGAGAAAGGTGAGTGAAAGACGTCAAACGAGATAGTCTCTGAAAGTGATGGAGTGAGGGCAAAACGAGACACGTGTCCACCTAGGATTTGGTTGACCCTAGCGTACACCTCACGAAACGCCCACATCGATCGTTGAGCAATCTAAGTCCAGAGCCACCAATTATGATAAATGGGAAACAACTCATAGACATTCTCTTTTTGTCCTCGTCTGCATGCTTGCCTGCCCGCCCGCCCGCCCTCTACTCGGTTTCCCGACACTTTGAGCCTTGATCCATCGAGGTTGGGTCCAAGACCCCAATGCCCATGCCTGGGTCCACGAAGATCAGGCCAAGGTCTCCAGTGCCCCGGCCTGGGTCTACTGAGTCTGGGCCTAGGTCTATTGCTAGGCTCATTACCCTGGTACCCGTGCTCGGGTATTTGACATCCAAGCTCAAGACCCTAATGTCCGTGCCCAATTTCCTCGTGCTTGAGCCCGGGTTGATCGAGGCCGAGGCCTAGGATCCCAGTGCCCGAGCCCAAGTCCACAGAGACTAGGCTTAAAACCCCAATGTCCGTGTACTGATCCCAAGCGCTCGAGCCCAAGTCCCTTGAGGTCAAGCCTGGGACCCGATGCTTGTGCTTGGGTCCATCGAGGATGGGCTCAGGACCTTAGTTCCCATGCTGAGGACCCTGGTGCCTTTCGAGGCTGATTGCTAAGGTCCGAGATTTGGCCTCAATGGACCCAGGCACAGACATCAGGGTCTCGAACATAGCTGCCGAGTTTTGGGTAGGCCTCCATGGACCGAGGCTCGGGTGTGGAAGATTCAGCCACAGGCACAAGGTTTTGAGCCCGGGCGCCAAGGACCCAAGCACGAGCATTTAGGTCCTGAGCTGGGCCTCGATGGACTCGGGCGCTAGGGAGCTGAGCAAGGGTACTATATTGGGTCCTAGGCCTAGCCTCTATGAACCTTGGCTAAGGGCATCGGGACCCGACCATGGGAGCTCGTGTCCTTAGCCTAACCTCGATAGACTCTGGCTTGAGCATTTTTCGGGTCCCAACCTTTTTGGACTCATGCTTGGCCTTGATGGAACTCGTCGGACTTGACCCGAGCCTCTAGACTCGGGTCTACTGCCAAGGGCCTAGGAAAGAGTATTGGGATTCCCGTATCCAAGCGCAAAGTTTTTTGTTCAAACGTCGATATATAGTCATATTTTGAAAAATGAATTCCGATTTTTTAAAAATCATTCTCCTAAATTTAAGCATAAATTTTCTGTTAGCTAGGAAAATATTTTTTGTTGACTCATTATCCTAAGAGATCTAAACAGAGCAAACGAAGCCCAAATCAACAATCTTTTCTTTCCGAGGGTTCTTTTTTTTTTTCCGGGTCATCTTCTTCCCGAGGTTTACATGCACATAATGTGGCTATTCTTTTGGTAATCCTACATAGCTCAACTACATGTGGACCTAACCATGTTCGATGCTCACAACCATCGATGGGAGAAGAGCAATTCGAGAAGGAAGAGAGGAGAACAATGGAGAGCTCACACATAGGGGGGAAAGGAGAGCGAGAGACGTCAAGGTCAAGTAGATAAATCTAATTATGTGTGGAAAGCGATGGAGCGATGGTCGAAGGACACACGTGTCCGACTAGGGTTTGGTTGACCCTACCATCTACGCCGCGAAACGCCAACGTCTCGACCGGGCTATCAAGAGTCACATAAAAAAAAATATATATATATATGTGACACGATTACCAATATTGGAAGGGCAGGCAAAATATGGAAAAAAAACAAGGGAGAAAACCAACAAAGAAAAAAAAACTTTGAATTATGCTCACGGTGGCACAATAACATAAAAAATCACAAATTAGGTTCACTGTGATGCATTTATCTTGAACTTTTTCTTGTGACGTCGAAAAACCCCAAAACTTATACCTGTATTACCCTCCATGGAAATTTCATCAAACGGCTTTATAGCCAAAACGACGTCGTTTTTATTTCATTTAAGCCGTGTGAGCGAGCGCCGTGTCAACACCGATTGCCTTTCATCGTCTATGTAGGCAGATTTTTGAATGTGCTAATTGACGGAACCCTGGCGAATGGCAAAAGTTCACGCAATTTTGTTGTAAATGTGTGTCACAGTGGGGGCACAATTTGTGTTTTCTTGGTGGCTTTTTGCCGGACGATAATATTATATAAGAGATTCACGATGTAAAGTGATAGTTTCAGCGACGCTGCGGGTCCTTTCTCACGAAATATATGATTTTTATTCATCTAGTAGCCAGCATTGCTCCTGGGACTTATAATTGAACAGTCCGTTTTTACTTTTGCTTTTTTATGATATTTTGAGCGGTATATCGCGTGGATAAGCCGTGTTAGAATATTTGATACACATAATATTTTTTTTTTTATCGATACAGCGTAACCAAATAAAAGGCAATTATTTTGTGCATATATCCATACTTCTTGAAAGGAAATTATATAGCCCCCAGCAGCTGTGGAAATCTCACATCTTTCTCCTACTTTCCTATATTTCTTTCCTTTCCGTCTGTCTTTCTTTCTCTTCTTCGATATCGACTTAACTATATAGGCAGGACGGAGGCGGGACGGGTTTGCAATGGCCGGAATGTCACCGGAGGGGCGTCGGTACGAGTTCATGATCGGCGTAGATTCAAAACAGGGAAATTTACCAAAAAAGTAATAAATTTATTGCAATTGTGCTAATTCGGTGATAAACCTTTTTTTTTTATCAATTGAGTCATAAATCGTTTGTATTTATGCCAATCCAATCCATCTGGCCCATTTTAGCTGGAAATTGCTAATATGGGCGCCGACCGTTCTTCGTGGTGTGGCCGGCACTGACATTTAGAATTTTTAATAATATTTTTTCGAATTTTTTCTTTTTCTTTATTTTCTTTTCTTTCTCTTTCTTTTTTGTCTTCCTTCTTCCTTCTTCCTTTGGCTGGTCACCGGACCTCCGCAACCAACTAGAGACCTCGCTATCCATTGGCGAGGGCGAGCCTCACCCACCCTTGGCAAGAACCTCGCCGCCTAGAGGAAGAAGGAGGAAGAAAAAAAGAAAGAAAAGAAAAAAATAATAAAAAATTCGAAAAAAATATTAAAATATTATTAAAAATTATCTACGTCAGTGTCGACCGCGCCACTAGGATGCCCGGCATCCATATCAGTAATTTCTAGCTAAAATTGGCATGAATTGACTGAATTGACATAAACACAAAAGATTTTAAGACTTAATTGATAAAATAAAGTTTACGGATTAAATTGACACAATTGCGATAAATTTAGGGCTTTTTTTTTTGGTATTTCTCCGATTCAAAACGTGTTTTTTTGCTCTTGTCTTTTTCAAAACGCCGTTTCGATCTCAAACACTTTTGCGCAGTTTCTACGGAGGTCGCTCCCGATCATCATCAACAGCAGACGTCAGCAGAGGGGCAGTCCCGTAATAACATCCAAGAAGAGGGGGCATTTACGAAACCCCGCCATGCATAATAAAGGAAAGCGAATTTCAACACAATCCCGTTGCTGCTGCTGCTGCTGTCTTCTTCTTCAACCTTCGTTTCCTATTCCGGATCGTCTCCTCCCTCCCTCCCTCCGCCCTCTCGCCACAATAACCTCTGTTCCGGCGCCGCCTCTCTCTCTCTCTCTCTCTCTCTCTCTCTCTTCTTATATATATATATATATAGTCGTCTCCTTCTTCGATGTTCCACCTACACTGTTCCACGCGTCCCCCACACAACCCCATATTCTACCGATCTTTCCCCAGATCTCCAGGCACCAACGTCTTCCAATTTGCCCTGTTTCTGCTTTCGTGGGCCTCTCTCTGTTTTCTCGCCTCTTTCTAGTTGGGTTTCTTTTAACTGATCGGCCGGGACCTACCAGCACTTGCCTCGCTGGCCATGGAGTCGCTGCGCAAGTCCTTTAAGTCCTGCGGCTCCCACAAGCACCCCCGAGGCTTCTCTTCTTCCCGCGAAGATCGCCTGCCCATCCTCGGCGAGCGAGCGGCCGCCGTCGACCCCGCCGACCTCGAGCTCGGCCTCGGCGGTCCCGGCTTGCCGGGCGATTGGAAGAGCGACGGTTCGGGAATGCCGAGGGAACCCGGCATTGAGTTCCGGAAGAAGGGGAGCGAGGAGGGTGCTCCCGCGGAGGACCCGCCGTCGCGGTTGATCGGGCGGTTCCTCCACGAGCAGCGGGCCTCCGGCGACGTGTCGCTGGACATGGACCTGGAGATGGAGGAGCTGCGCGGCGGCGGGGATGGCAGCCGGAGGGACTTGCCTCCGGTCGCCGACTCGCCACGGCCAACAAGGCAGAGCCAGGACGGCTCGAGAGTGTCCTTTCAGCCGCCCATCTCGACAGGGGCTGGGCCAGGTACGCTGCAGAGGCGGCACAATGGCTTGCCGAGCCACGGCGGAGATGGCAACTCTGGCGGTAACAGGGAAGAGGAGGTTGTGAAATACGCGTCGAGCGGGTCTTTCCAGGGGAAATCAAGCTTGCTCCGCACGAAAACCCGGTCGCGGCTGATGGACCCGCCGGAGGAGCCCAACAGGAGATCGGGCCGGATTCGGAGATCGGGCCAAGTGCGGTCTGGAATGCTGGGGAGGGCAGGGGATGAGGAGGAGGACGACTTCTTCTTGGAAGACGACCTTCCAGAGAAGTTCAAGAAGGCCCAGTTCGGCGCCATTACTCTGTTACAATGGGTGAGTTTGGTCTTGATCACTGGTGCTTTAGTTTGTACTCTTGCAATTCCTGCATCGAAGCGTAGAGAATTGTGGAATCTCAAACTGTGGAAGTGGGAGGTCACGGTCTTGGTCTTGATTTGTGGGAGGTTGGTCTCTGGGTGGATGATTCGATTAGTCGTGTTCTTCATCGAGAGGAACTTTCTGCTGCGAAAACGGGTTCTGTATTTCGTCTACGGCGTTCGAAAGGCAGTGCAGAACTGCCTGTGGTTGGGGCTGGTCTTGATTGCTTGGCATGCTCTGTTTGACAAGAAGGTCGAGAGGGAGACGAACAGCGACAGCTTGAGGTATGTCACCAAGGTGCTGGTGTGCTTCCTAGTGGGGACTCTGCTGTGGTTGGTTAAGACGCTGATCATCAAGGTGCTGGCGTCGTCGTTCCACGTGAGCACCTACTTTGACCGGATCCAGGAGTCTCTGTTCAATCAATACGTGATCGAGACGTTGTCGGGTCCGCCTGTGATTGAAATTCGGAGGACGGAGGAAGAGGAGGAGAGCATTGTGGCCGAGCTCCAGACTTTCCAGAAAGCAGGCATGACTGTGCCGCTGGATCTAAGGGCGGCAGCTTTTCCGACTAAAAGTGGGATGGCAGTTGGGAGCGGAGGGCTTCAGAGAAGTCCGCAAGTGAAGAACATGAAGCTCTCTCGAGGGCTGCCAGGAAAGGGCGAGGGAGGGATCACAATAGATCACTTGCACAAGCTGAATCCCAAGAATGTGTCTGCCTGGAATATGAAAAGATTGATTAAAATCGTGCGGCACGGATTTCACTCGACATTGGACGAGCAGATACAGGATACTACTCATGAGGATGAGTCGGCAACGATGATCAGGAGTGAAATCGAAGCCAAAGCTGCAGCTAGGAAGATCTTTCGAAATGTGGCTAAGCATGGTTCAAAGTAAGACCATAGTTCTTCACCTCAATGTTTTGAGTTTTTGACATAATCCTTGGATGAGGCAATTGCTTCCCCGATTAGATCTCTTTCCGATTCACCTCAATGTTATGATTTTCTTGCTGCTAGGTTTATCTACTTGGAAGATCTGATGCGCTTCATGACGGAAGACGAAGCCTCGAAGACGATGAATCTCTTCGAAGGAGTCGATGAAGGCAAGAGAATCAGCAAGTCGTGCCTGAAGAGCTGGCTGGTAAGTGGAATTCTGTAAAATCAGGTCCTTAGACATGCCTGTTATAACTTTTTCGTCGTCAATGCTAATCGAACTGACCAAATTGTTTTAGGTCAATGCTTTCAGAGAGAGGAGAGCGCTCGCCTTGACCTTAAACGACACGAAGACTGCGGTCAACAAGCTGCATCGGATGGTCAACGTCATAGTAGGCATTGTCATATTGATCATCTGGCTTCTCATTCTGGGGATAGCAACAAGCAAGTTCCTGCTCTTTCTCAGTTCGCAGCTCGTCCTCGTCGCATTTATTTTCGGGAACACCTGCAAGACCATATTCGAGGCGATCATCTTCTTGTTCGTGATGCATCCATATGATGTGGGCGATAGGTGTGAGATCGATGGAGTCCAGGTAGATACCGATATCGCATGTTTTATTCACTGCTGTATCTGCTTTCGCTTGTACCTACTTCATGGTCTCTTCTGTTATTCATCGCCTCATTTATATGCTGTAATCGTTTTAGATGGTTGTAGAAGAGATGAACATCTTGACGACCGTGTTTCTGAGGTATGACAATCAAAAGATTACATACCCAAACAGCACTCTTTCAACGAAGGCCATCGGCAACTATTATAGGAGCCCTGACATGGGAGACGCGATCGAATTCTGTGTGCACATATCTACTCCTGCAGAGAAGATTGCTGCCATGAAGCACAAGATAACCAGGCAAGTGAAAACATCTAGAGTTTCTCAAACTTCGTTCAGTTTTCTGTGTCTGTTGAAGCATCTTTTCCAAGGAATGATTGCTGCCGTAGATGACAATCCCGAAAAGTAGAGAACTGTAATGTCTCTTTAGTCAATCTGTGATAAGAACTAGGATTAATCGCGGGTGTTTGGGTTTTAGAACTAGGTAGATAACCATGTGATACTTTCGGGCTCGCTCCATTGAATATTGCCAGTCTGTTTCTGTTCTATCTGCATCGACGAATCGATAAAACAAGAATTAATCCGGAATGCTTCTTTGTTGTTCTACTGATTGCAGTTACGTCGACAGCAAGAAAGAGCACTGGTATTCCTCGCCTATGATCATAATGAAAGATATAGAAGAGCTGAACAGGGTGAGGATCGCCGTGTGGCTGTGCCACAGGATAAACCACCAGGACATGGGAGAGAAGTTCGCGAGGCGATCCCTCTTGATCGAGGAGATGGTCAAAATATTCAGAGAGCTCGACATCCAATACCGCTTGCTACCGCTCGACATCAATGTCCGCGCGATGCCTGCTCTGAGCTCCACGCGGGTTCCTCCTGCATGGGAAAATGCTGGCTGAGTCGCTCAACTGGTCAGACAAAGAGCTGCATTCACCTGCACAGTAGATTGGTCGGTCGTATTCCACGGTAGCAGTGCGAATGGCGGACCGTGTAGCAGTCTCCGGCAAGCCGCTACTTCTTCGACTCTGAGGTTTTCCTCTCTCATTGTACATATTCATCGTAGTACAGTGAAAATTTGGTTTCTCCATCTTTCCCGCGGCACCTTAGGCTCTTTAACTGGGATTCCGGAACTCTTTTCCTATCTTAATCCGAGGCCAACTTGTAATTAGAGAATGAGTTGTTATGCAAATGATGCTTTGAAATTGAGGGGATACATCGTGTTACTCGAGAGAGAGTTCTCAGAATATAGATGTTCATATGTCTATTGATGGTCATACTGTTGCTTTTCAGCTGTTCTTGTTTATCCAACATGGATCGTGTTACTCAAGAAAACGATTGCAATTTGCTTGTAACATCCTGATCCCTATTTTGATTCCAGCATGTAAATGCACACGATGAGTAGAAACGAGATTAGTTTCGGCAAAAGAAGAAAATGCAAAAGTCGAAATCAGAATCAGCAAAGCTGCTCACAAGCTATTTATGCATTATCAGACAAGATAACATATATTAATCATATGTTTATGCATCTCCAATGGTGTTTGTGTTCTCAAAACTAAGTTGAACTTATCTGAAGCTTAAAAACATCAATTGATTGGGAAAAACAAGGGGAGAAAACTCTTTAAGAATTTTGGAATAAGGAAAAATAAAGGGATAAGCCCATTGAAAGTCCTAAAACTTATCATGAAAGTGCAATTGAGTTTTAAAACTTTCAAAAAGTACAATTAAGTCCTAAAACTTGTCACAAAGTGCAATTGAGTTCTAAAACTTTCAAAAAGTACAATCAAGTCCTAAAACTTGTCAAGTTAGTCCGATTAAGTTCTTCTTTTGATTGCACTTTTAAAAGTTTTAGGACTCAATTGCACTTTCGCAACAAGTTTTAGGACTCGACTCAATTGCACTTTTTGAAAGTTTTAGGACTTGATTGCACTTTTTGAAAGTTTTAGAACTCAATTGCACTTTCGTGATAAGTTTTAGGACTTCTAATGCACTTATCCGAAAAATAAATTATGAGTCATTAGAAGAGGGGATGAACCACTTCCTCTATAAATGGAAAAATTACCTAATTAATTCTAAATCTAGGACGCTAATTTAGTTATAAGCTTTCCGATTCTGTCAATTTAGTTCTACACCTTTGCCCGAAGTCCTTCTGGTCAATTTTCGCCGGAAGCCACTGACATGATGGTGTTTAAACAATTCATTTTCCGTGAAATAAATAGATAAATGAAAGAATCGTGTGTTTTACAAAGTCAATAATGTGTTACATGCATATTTAGATGTTATATTTGCATATATTGCCCGTAGTTATATTGTATAGAGATCGTTAAAATGATATCAATCATTATGAGAGAGAGCGATACTCTAAGGGCCCGTTTGGTAACGTGCCAAACAGTGAAAATTTCTGTTCTTTTGTTCCCAGAAATAGTTTGGGAACAGAAATGCGTTTGGTAAACTTTTTGTTCCCGGGCACATTTTTGCAAATATTTGTGCCGAGACACAGTTTTGGAAGAGAAACAAGAAGTAAAAAAAATTTGCTTCTTGTTTCTCGGCATAATTTTGAGAATCAGTTTTTTTTCTTCTTTTTCTTTTTTTTCTTTTCTTCTTTTTGTGTTGCTCTTCTTGGGTTGTGGCCAGTAGCCCAGGGCCGGCGAGGGCATCACGGCCCTCGCCGGCCGCCGGTGGAGGCGAGGGTCCCCCCTGCCGGCGAGGGCGAGGGCTGGACCCTCGCCGCCTGGGCGAGGCGGCTCGCCGTCGGTCATGTCAAGGTCGGCCTCGCCAGATCTGGGCGAGGCCGACCTCGCCGTCGCAACCCACGACGAGGCTTGGCCTCGCCGTGGGTCGCTACGGCCTCGCTCGATCTCGAGCGAGGCCGACCTCGCCATGACCGACGGCGAGCCGCCTCGCCCAAGCGGCGAGGGTCCAGCCCTCGCCCTCGCTGGCAGGGGGGACCCTCGCCTCCGCCGGCAGCCGGCGAGGGCCATGACGCCCTCGCCGGCCCTGGGCTGTGGCCGGTCGCCCGCGACCGGCCATGGCCTGGGTAGACAGAAAAAAAAATTAAACAATTCAAAATATTATTAATAAAAAGAAATTTGTGTGTAGTTACCAAACGCATTTCTGTTCTTTTCTATTCCAGGAATAGAAATTTTGGACAGTTTACCAAACGCTTTCAAATGCACAGAAATTTTTTTTTTTTTGGTAAGTAAGTGCACATAAATTGTTTCCGGGCACATAATCAAAAAAAATCATTTCTATTCAGAAATAGTTCCCGGGCACAGAATGGTTGTCATGCGCACCCTAAGTAAGTTGTAAATCCATTTAACACCTATATTATGTTGGTCTTTACCATTTTAAACCCACGTATGATCAATTTACTAAATATAACTATCCCATATAACAATTCAAGCCATCGTATATGTGTAAAGAATAGAGATGCACGTATATGCTCGGTGACCAACAGAGATTATGTAACAGTTCCATCTCTACGAGTACATATAGGACATCGGCTAACGGAAGGACTTGTGTAAATAAATCGCCATTGGGTATCTCATTCATAATCTCTAACTCTTCGGGTGAAATCGCAATTTGTCATAGACAATATAATTGCATATCATCAAAATAAGTAGAGACTTATCTTACCAAATCCCATGCTACGTGCTCGTTGCCTATCTCAATCAATATGTGCATTTCAGGTTTTGGCCAAGATGAAAATGGTTTCTTAGGCTATGCTATCAAGTATACTTTTTAATAACTTAAGTAGATTCGTATTGTGTGGGGCCAGCAAGTTTTTGTGAAATAACTTAGAAGAGAAGAAAAAAGAATGTGTCAAGAGACGGACCCATAAAACGAGGAATGTATATATATATATATATATATATATAATAATAAGATTATGATACATGATATTTTCTTTAGGCAAGAAAGAGCACTGCATGCTAGGTTTAAAGGATCTTACATATATGGAATCTGACGAGATAACTATAATAAATTCGTATAGAAACGTATGTAGAACTTTTGGGGTGTACAGATTTCGATCTATGTGCGAAGACAATATGGAAAAATCTGAAAGTTATCACACCTATATATTTCTTTCACTAAAAATTTTGGGCCAATAATGAAAATTAAACATTTAGAGGTGCAGGTGGCCGAACCTGACTTTCATAAGGAGTCCTTATAGATCAAAATTAGAAGTCTGTCCGATGTATCTAATTAGCCCTCAATTTATTGAGCGGATGTCAATTCAGTCCTAAACTTTTTAATTTTGCCAAATTGAATTCTTAACATTAACATGAAATTTCAATGTAATCTTTTCAACCAATTTTGCCAGAAATTGCTAACGTGGTGGTGTGCCACGTAAGGAGGCCGGCAATGACTGAATCACTACGTTAGCAATTCATGGCGAAAATTGGCCAAAAGGATTACAAATTTCCCACGAAGGTTTATAACTCAATTTGGCAAAATTGAAAAATTTAGAATTGAATTGACATCTGTACAATGGGTTTAATACTGATTGGGTAATTTTTCCCGAACAACATATTCTACACTTTGATAACAATTCGAAGGTCTTGGTCTCCGTACTAATGCTAAATAATTTAGAAACTAATTTACTATAACTCCCAACGATTACCAAATACGAATTTCGGAACGTATTGATCTCTCATTAATGCTCATTCAAATTATCATAAATTAAAGCTTCTAATACGCATCTAACTACATAAATTTTGGGATATTACAATATTTCTTGAACTTTTTCTTCATTACATGTTATCGTTTATGAAGAAGAAGAAAAAAAGAGAAAAAGAAGAAGCAGAAAAAACTTTTTGTTGACTTGAAAAAACAAAAAATAATAATGCGGTGGTTCACGTAATTTCTTTTGTTTAGTCGTTGTTTAATTCCTAAACCAATGTTTATACTCAATAAGAACATAAAATTTAATAATTGACATTTTTTTAAATTCCTTATACTTTCATATATTGATATTATTGGTTATATCTAGTGACTTTAATTATAAAAACAACAACAACAACCACAACAATATATCTAATCTATAATTATATTTTGGGTTAATATCACGAAAAAAACTCTAAACTGGTACACCTGTGACAAAATTAAAAAAAGCTAATCTTTTTATCACAAAAAATCTCATAATACAAATGTGACAAATTTACCAAAAACTAATTTTTTTTATCCTAAAAAACCCCAAACCGGTTTACCCTATCAATTGTCACGTATCATCCAATTCAGCATTTTGACGGTAAAATTTAACGGAAACTAACGGAGGGCAAATTTGTCACAATTGTACATGTTTTGGATTTTTGATGGTCAAAAAATTAATCTTAGGTAAATTTGTCACATACGTAACAATTTGGAGTTTTTTGTGGTATCATCCCTTATATCTTAAAGTACAATTATAACTTTCAACGAACGATTAATGTATTTGAAAAAACATATTCCTAAACAATCTGCGGTGTCTTCAGAATGGTATTTCTGGATCATTTTATGGCTCAACTACTGTAGAGCCAAACAAAATTATAATCTTGGTCAATATAATTCATTTTATATATAAGTCCCACATCTTACTTTTTGAAATGTATATAATATACTTTCATTTTATTTCTAATAATTTTCTTTCTCACTAACCCAAAAAACCGGAGAAAAAAAAAAAGAAAAACAGCTCGAACTGAACCTGGCTGCAGACGACCTGCAGCACAAGCTCGACTTGGGTCGTCGTCGTCGTCGTCTTGCTTCCACACCAGACATGAGAATCTGCTGGAGGAAGCTCGGCATCTTGCACGGGCCCGCCTTCTTGCCGTGGAGACGGCCACCGTATCGGCTCCGTCGTCCCCGCTTCGCGACCCACCAACCCGCCGCCGGAGACCCACGGCAAGCTCGCGGGTTCGCCTCGGCGAGGCAGAGCAGAGGGTGCCGCGCCCCGGATCTGTTCGCCCTGAACAAGCGGATCACGCATTTGGTCAGAGCGGGCCGCCTCGGCGATGCCAGGGCGGCCTTCGACGCCGCCGGGTGCCGGAACACCGTGACGTGGAACGCCATGATCACGGGCTACGTGAGGAGGGGGGAGATGACGAGGGCGCGCGAGCTGTTCGACGGAATGCCCCAGAGAGACGTCACGTCGTGGAACTTGATGATATCGGGCTACGTCGCGTGCCGCGGGAGTGGGTTCGTCGAGGAAGGGCGGGACCTGTTCGAGCGAATGCCCGAGAGGGATTGCGTCTCGTGGAACACGATGATCAGCGGGTATGCGAAGGATGGGAGGATGGATGAGGCGTTGTGGCTGTTTAGCCGTATGCCGGAGAGAAATGTTGTTTCTTGGAATACGATGGTGACTGGGTTTCTGAGGAACGGCGATGTGGAACGCGCGGTTGAGTTTTTCAAGGAGATGCCTGAGCGGGATTCGGCTTCTCTAAGTGGCCTTGTGTCGGGCCTTATTCATAATGATAAGTTAGATGAAGCTGCTAGGATATTTCTTGAACACGGGAATCCGGATGGTGGGGAAGATATAGTGAGTGCTTATAACACCCTGATTGCTGGGTACGGCCAAAGAGGCCGCATTGAAGAGGCTCGTTATCTTTTTGACCTGATCCCATATAATAATGATATAGGAAACGGGGGTGCTCGGAAGTTTGCGAGAAATGTGGTATCATGGAATACCATGATCATGTCCTACGTTAAAGTAGGAAATACTGTTGCTGCTAGAGAACTCTTTGATCAAATGAAAGAACGTGATACATTTTCTTGGAACACCATGATTAGTGGTTACGTACATACGTCTAACATGGAGGAGGCGTCCAAACTTTTTCAAGATATGCCTAGTCCTGATACTTTTACGTGGAATACGATGATCTTAGGATATGCCGAAACTGGAAAGGTTGAATTGGCGAGGGATTTATTTGAGAAGATGCCTCAAAAGAACTTGGTCTCGTGGAATTCTGTGATAGCAGGATACGAGAAAAATGAGGACTATAAAGGAGCGGTTGGACTCTTCATTCAGATGTTGACCAATGGGGAGAAACCAGATCGACATACTTTATCTTCCATTCTAGCTGTAGCCACTGGTCTTGTTGATCTTTCCCTCGGTTTGGAGATCCACCAGCTGGTCACCAAAACAGTTAACCCAGATGTGCCTATAAAAAATTCCCTCATCACTATGTACTCAAGATGCGGGGCAATTGTCGAGGCTCAGACTATCTTTGACGAGGTGAAGTTACAGAAGAATGTGATCACTTGGAATGCAATGATTGGAGGATACGCATCTCATGGGTTGGCTGCAGAGGCTCTTGAACTTTTTAATTTGATGAAGAGATTTGAAGTTAGGCCTACCTATATAACCTTTATATCTGTTCTGAGTGCTTGTGCTCATGTTGGGTTAGTAGAAGAAGGCCGGAGGCATTTTCTGTCGATGGTTAAGGAATATAACATAGAACCAACGGTTGAACATTTTGCATCACTCGTGGACATAGTGGGCCGGCATGGGCAGCTTAACGAGGCCTTCAATATAATAAAGGACATGCCAATGAAGCCAGATAAGGCTGTTTGGGGTGCTTTACTTGGTGCTTGTAGGGTGCATGACAATGTTGAGTTGGCTCGAGTTGCAGCTGAAGCATTGATGCAACTTGAGCCAGAAAGTTCAGCACCATATGTCTTGCTATACAACATGTACGCAGATGCCGGACGCTGGGATGATGCAAACGAAGTGCGCGTGATGATGGAGAGAAATGCAATTAAGAAGCATAAGGGGTATAGTCGAGTGGATTCCCCTCAGTAGCTTTTGTTTCATATGCCGACCTTCGGTTTACTCCCTGCATCAACCTCCTTTTGCTTATGAAGTCAGGAGTTAAGATAACTAATAGATCTGTTTGTCCTATACAACAGGATGAAAAAAACCAGAAAATTGGAAAATAGTGGGCTCATCTGGTTGATTATATTTGTTATACTGTAGAAAGAACGAGGACTTTCGTTTGCATGGCAAATCGTTTGCTGACATCCCAAAAGAATGATGGAATAGAAGTTTGGAAAGTGAGAACTAGATTCAGAGGAGTCACTTCGAACTCATTTTTCAATTCCCCAGATCTTGCAATTCTCAGCTCTGTCATAGTAAGATGGTGAAAAATCTATAGGTAGTTACAATACCAAGTTTCTGGCCTATTACAAATGAAACTCGATGACTCCAACGATTTATCCGTACGATCAAATAGGAGCTGAAGCCAATCTAGACTGTTAATTGGCATGCTCAACTTTCGTATGAATCATACATGCTGATGGATTACTTCTTTGTCAAATTGAACGCATGAAGAGCAATGACTTTTTCTGCATGGGATGTTGACCTGCACGGTCCATGTACATTAGCCAACATGGCCTTTACTCAAGATCCATGACAAGAGGAGATGTTACGTGCTGATGCTAGGAAAAGCCTTGGTATTCTGCAACTGAATAGCTTGTCAAGCACACAGATATTTAACTTTTTAACAGGTAACCTGATCTTGGCTTCTTTACTCTACATTAGTGAATAATCTACAAAGATGTGTCCTCTTTCTGAGTTCTGGAAGGTCATCTTGTCTTGGCAGAAGAGAATAGAATGATCACTTGCATATTGGCTCTCTTTACCGTTCACTTTTTCCCGAGAGAATTCTCTGCTATTCTTTGGAACTTGTCTCTTGAAATTTTAGTATGTGATGTCTCTCTTTCAGCAACTTCAGTGAAGACAGAAGGAGGAAGAGGAAGATTAAGAAAGAGGTTAGCAATTTTGTTAAGGCCGTAAGGCGACTTATCCTGTTTTGAGGCCTAAAGCAGTTTATTCACTTAATCACTCAAGGATTTGAGGGGCTTCTACTTGCATGCTTGGGGCTTTGGCTTATAATCAGCGGTTGGACAATAATTTGCTTTACAATAATAATAACTGCTGATCTGCGTCACTCTTCTGATCCTGAAATCATCTTCAGGGTCTCTATTTATTTCCATAGATTCCAACAAAATTTGATGAATCAACAATAATAACTGGTAGGTTGATGGGTGACAATGATTCACTAATTACTACCATCAATTGAAACAGCAATGACGAGTCACTGACTACTGATTATAGCAGTGACAGACACCCGGTGCGACCAGTGACCAGTGATGGGTGATGGTGGTTACTGGGGACCAGAGGTGTTGGCAGCTAGCAATTGGCGATGTTGATCGGTGGCTTGCCAACCTGGACAACCTGTCAGTGATGGGGTGGTCGAGGGAAGTTATTGAGATGGAACGATTAAGTTCAGTGAGTTTCAAGAGAGGACTTTTGCCTTTTGAAGGGTAAGTCGTTACCAGAATTTAACTATTCATCTTCCATTATCCACTGACCATGATAAGAAATTGTTGCATCCTCTATTGAGAGGAGCTTTCTGCTGTGTAAAAGGGTATTGTATTTCGTCTACGGTCTAGGGTAAGTGGTTTGGAATTGTTTGTGGTCAAGGCTGGTTTTGATTGCTTGGCATGCTCTGTTTAATAAGAAAGTCGAGGTAAGAGCTTGAAGTATGTCACTGAGAGTTCGTGTGTTTTTTTGGCAGGGACTCTGTTGTGGTTGATCAAGATGCTGATAATCTAGGTGCTAGCGTTGTCATTTCACGAGAGCACCTATTTCTTCAGGATTCAGTAATCTTGTTTTAACCAATATGTGATTGAGATGTTATCAGGTCCACCTTCCATGGAAATACCTAGGACAGAGGGAGAGGAGGATATAATTGCAGCTAAGCTTAAAAAATTGGAGAATGCAAGCAGGACCATGCTATCAGATCTCGGGGCAGCTGCTTTTCCAAGGGACATTGGGAGGGGAGAGCTTCAGTGAAGTCCCCTAGAGGAAAGCATAGAGTTCTCTGGAGTACGGTTTGGAAAGAGTGGTTGGGCGGGGGCGGGGGTGGGGGGGAGGGATAGCAGTTGATCGCTTGTACAAGCTGAACACTAGGAATGTGCCAAAGCCTGCCTGGACTATGAAAAGATTGATTAACATTGTGCAAGCATGGATTTGATTCAACATTGGACAAGCGGAATTGAGATTCTACTCAAGAATGAGTCGGACACCATGATCGGGAGTGAAACCGAAGCCAAAACTGCAGCTTCCTGAAAATGTGGCTAAGTATGGTTCAAAGCAAGGCCTTAGTTCTTCACCTTCCGAAGCGGATGGTAGAGTTCTTTTCATATTCCGTGGATGCATGTGTTGAGCTTCGGTACCACCCCCCCGTCAAATGGATGGATTGGGTCGGGTCGAAAATGATATGATCTAAATTGACTCATTTAAACCATTTTGATCTATTTCCATGTAATACAAATTTAGTGACCTATGCCCGACCCAATCCATATGGCTAAAATATTTCCATGTTTAATTCAATTAAGGAAAACTCGTATCCAAAATAAGGTGAGAGCGTGGAGTGAGCAAGCGCAAGATCTAGTGAGAGAGAGAGAGTAAAAAGATAGTTGTAAAGATATGTTGGGTCTAAGTAAGTTATGGGCCTATATTATTTTGGGTTTTATCATTCTAAATCCATTTATAATCCATGTACTAAATATAACTATGTATTAAATATAACTAACCCATATGATAACTTGACTAATCAAATATGGATTGAAAAATGGGTCTCGGTGAATTTGCAATTGCTAAGTTTGATCATTTTTAATAACCCAATTAGATGTTGAAATTGAAAATTCGGTACTTAACAAGATTAAGCTTGTTGGATATCGTTGACTTAAAAGACCTATTAAGTCAACAATTCAATTGATGCGGTAAGAAAGTGTCAGATGTACTTAATTCAATGTAACATAAAAAAAATTTAACTGCAATTAAAACCTGTCAATCATGATCATTGCCTTGTATGAAACTTTAGAAACGAGACGGCAAACTTTACAAATGTAGACTTAGGAATTTGGAAGAGTATATTAAAGAGCAAAAACACAGAGCTCAAGCTTTTTATATTTGACTAGTGATAAAACCCGGGCCAAAATACATGTAAATTTTTTCAGCCTTTTTCTTTCCTAAGATTAATAAATTCGTATTATGAATAATCTTTCAATAAATAACTAAAACGTGAAAAATAATTGGATGAGCGCACGATTCGTATTTTTACCATTTTTGTTAAAAAATTATTTTGTATTTTGCAATAATCTATCGTCCAAACATGCTTATTTTCTTAATTACAGAGATGAGTGAATATGCATTGATCATATTGTCTTCTAATCTTGTGAAACAAATACCTGCAAATACATAAGGCATCTTTAAAAAATTCCGGGACATCACTTGTTCAAGTTGATAATTTACGGAACGAATGTTGCTAATAACTCATTTATCGTGATATGTATCACTGGTTTCTTATATTATAAATTTGGAAATATATGGATGACTTGACGGACATCACCATATTAACATAGGATCATAGAAAACGATTTGTGGCACGAATACAGTTACTGTGAAACTCACTTTGTTCATACCACGTCATGAAATCGACACTCCTTGCACATAGGATAAAAGTTATACTGAGTAGTTATACATTTTTCCACAAGTACGATTAACGCAAAGTCGAATATGCAATTGTCATGTTGAGGTCAAGTTGTATTCTCATATAGTGCATCGCAATTGTAGTTTCTTGAGTTAAATGAAAGTTAAGTGCATGAAAAATTTAGGGTTAATACCACGAAAAACCTTAAATTGATACATCCGTGACAAGTTTACTCCAAACTTTTTTTTTATCACTAAAAATCTCAAACTGATACACTTGTGACACATACCCTTCATTATTTTCTATTAAATTTTACCGTTAAAATATTGAATTGTATGACACGTGGCAGTTGACGGATATATCAATTTTGGGTTTTATTCTCCATTTGTCACAGGTGTTTATGATTTTTCGTGGTTTTAATTCAATTTAACCGAAATTGGCCTAGAGTAAATTTGTCACAAATATACTAGTTTGGGATTTTTTGTGGTAAAAAAATTAGTTTGGGTAAATTTGTTACAGATGCATTGATTTGGGGTTTTTGGTGATCAAAAAAATTATTTTGACGTAAATTTATCACAAATGTACCAATTTGAGTTCATGGTATCAACCCAAAAAATTTATAATCCTAGAGCTAATACATGAAATGAGGAAAAAACACAAAAAAAAAAAGTTTAATAAGAAGTTTGAAAGTTGAAGTAAAAGGTGGGCTTGGATGAAGGTGAGAATAGGATTGAAATGCCACCCTTCTTCATGTGTGGTCAAGTTTTAGGCGACCTGTCAATTTTAATGCATTAAGATTTGCACGACAAAGTCTTGAAAGAAGTTTCGACTGAATTGCGCAAAGATTTTAAAAATTCGTTACTCACTCACTCGACAAAATTCGAAATCGATGAACTCGATGTGCAAAGGAAACAGAGGATCGAGTCTCCAAGATCCACGGTGACCATAGTTTCTCGAGTTCGATGTACGTCGCGAGCCAAGCAACGAAGAGAAAAGAGAAGAGGAGGAGAGAATCGCGAAATTACAACTTTGTAGGGACGACTTTGATTGAATTCTTTTAACTTTTTGAATAATTTTAATACTAATGAATCTTCCATTCGCATTTTCGAGCTTTCATGTACTAATAACATTCAATTAAACGTGCCAGGAAAATAGGGGAAAAAAATCAATCAATCATTCGTCATTTGTTGCCACCAATATTGACACCGTTGGTCTTTATACTTTTTTCAATCTGTTCAAATTATTTATGTAATTTTTTGGAGCTAATGTGATAACTAAAAGTCATGATTTTTTGTCCAAATTAATCCTTTCGTTAAACATAAGAAATGGAAAATGCTGATGTGGACAACCACGCCACATCGATGCTGATAGGATACATTAGAGGAGATATGGATTTATTTTGCTTCTTACTTGAAAGGAATAATGACACAAATAGTTATTAAAACTTTGGCTCAATATGTAATGTGGTCCACGAATTTTTAATTTGTTCAATATAGTCCTTGAAGTTTAGCCTAATGTTCAATGTGATCCCTAAACTTTTAATTTGTTTAATATGATCCATGGAGTTTTGATACATGTTCAATGTAATCTCTGAACTATATTGTAGTCCTTTTATTAATTCACGTTCAAAAACTACATTGGACATTTTCATATAGTTCAGGGACTAAATTGAACATGTGCCAAAAGTTCAAGGACCACATTACATATTGGGTTAAAGTTCATGGAGTTTTGATACATGTTCAATGTAATCTTTGAACTATATTGTAGTCCTTTTATTAATTCACGTTCAAAAACTACATTGGACATTTTCATATAGTTCAGGGACTAAATTGAACATGTGCCAAAAGTTCAAGGACCACATTACATATTGGGTTAAAGTTCATGGACCATATTGGACTAATTAAAAGTTCATGGACTATATCGTACATTGGATCACATTGAACTAATTAAAGATTGTTTGTGTCATTTTCCCTACTTGAGGGAGGGATAGGAGAGAGGGAGAGAGCTTTAGCAGCGGCAGGCCGTCGCCATGGTCGCCCACTAGCTTGGGTGGAGCACCTCTAGATTAGGGTTGCGTGACCCGAGCGACCAATCACCTTTTTTTATAACTACTCTATTTATATGAAAGTAGTTGAATGTAAGGTTCATGTAGATACAGATTATAATTGATGAATATTTGAATAAGAAACGTGGTCGTTCGGGTTGCGCGACCCAAACTAGGCCCCCCGCCGCACATGGACCGCAAGCCGAAAGTGCCACCACCCGGCAAATGGTGCTGGGTTGGGCCATCATTTGGGCTTTTTCTTTAATTTTTCTTCTTTCTTGTATTTTCAAATTTATTTATTTATTCTCTTTCATAAATTTTAAAAAATTATGTATATAAAAACCCATATATGACGTTACGTCAATATTCTACGACAACATCAACATTTAATTTCACATTTTTTTACGAAACGACCGGTTCGAATGGAAAGAAAAAATAACTCGGAGGTTACATCGGCCAATAGAAAAGTACATGGTCCAAAATCAAACAGACTAAAATAATATAGGAATCGACGGCGACATTATTTTTTTTTTATAATTGTGTCTCGAGCTAATTTATATGCCCTCTACTATAATTCATCCTTTGGTAATTTTAGCCTAGCTAGGGTATGGAGAAGCAAGCAAAAACAATCATTTATTCATCGAGTAACGACACAAATGATTTTTGAATTAAGATCCAATACACAATGTGGTCCATGAACTTTTGGTACACGTCCAATTTAATCTCTGAACTAAAAGGAAGATGCTGAACGTCGACCTTCCATTAATTCAAGTTCAAGGACGGCGTTGAGCATTTTCGTATAGTTCAGGGAATAAATTGAACTTGTACCGGAAAGTTCAGAGACCACATCGAACAGATTAAAAGTTCGGGGCTGGCGTTGCACGTCCGGCTAAAGTTCAGGGATCACATCGAACAAATTAGAAACTCAGGGACGACCTATACATTAAATCAAAGTTCAATAATCATTTACGTAACTATTTCGTTACTCCTCGAAACGTAGATGTCAACAGTTTAATTAAAAAAAAGAAAAAAACCAATCGAGCGTTTGCGCGAACAAAATCCGAGTACTTCTTTAATTCACGAAAAAGGTCGTACGCCGACGTTGACGATCGGCATGCACTCCTTCCCCTCATATCCATTCGCTCGCACGCACGCGCGCACGCTGAAGATACCAGAAGTTCCACACACACACAGAGATGGTCGAAGGAGGAGGAGGAAGACGGCGACGACGAAGAAGAAGCTGCTGCCCGAAACCCAGATCGGAGACCTGAAGGGGGGGCGAACCCTCGATCCTCTCTCGTCTCATCCTCCTCCTCATCACCGCTTCTCCCTGCGGAGCCCGCTGAAACCCGGCCACCGGCGGGTGCCTTCTTCGATCCGCGGTCGACGACCCAGTTCCTCCCTCGAATGGAATCCATCGTGGGGACCGGCGGCGCGAACAGGTGGCGGCCGATGGGCCGCGGCCGGGACGGGCCGGGGGCCGGCTTTTGGCTCCGGGAGATCGGCGGGCTCAGCAGCCGGAGCTTTGCGTACCGGCACAGGGCGTCGGAGGTCCGATCGTGTTGACGCGCTTTTGGTTTTTGCTTCTTGTGTTTTTCTTTGTTGGGTTGTTCTTGTCGGTTCGATCGAGCCCTTTTCTGGGTTTTCCCTTTTCTGGGTTTTGGTTGCTGGGGCTAGATACGCCTTTTCTTTGAATGTTCTTGTTTGATTGTCGCGACGAGGGTTGGATTGACCCGGTTGACCGGATCGTTCTTGGTGAGGTTTAGAGAGACTGCTGCTGCTGCTGCTGCTGCTGCTGGACAGTGTTGTTTTCGGTGTCGATGTTGTCAGTTCCCTTTGACAAGCTATGTTTGCTTAAGCACGCGGACAAGATGTGCACTTGCTTTTGGCCGTGATTATAGGCTCCCTCTCGGCGCGGCTGTGCGTGTGCTCTTGTTCCCCAAGAGCCTAAAGTGTGAGAGTGGGAAGTGAAATATGGGAAATTTATTCATCAGTCCGTCGATTCGATGGGCGGATGGGGCAAATAGGGGAAAGATCAGAATGAAAGCTTGTAGGATTTGATTAGGGCGTTCGGTTTTACGACGGGATTCATTTCTTAGGGGATTCAACTACAGTACGGTTCTTCATATTGCTAAAAGTTTGATGGAAGGGGAAGACTTTGTACGATAGACGACCATCTGTATCAGAGGGGGACTTGTGCACTTTTAGCCCTTCATTACCAACCCCGCTTAGAATAAACTAAACCTTAGCTGTTGTATTAATTTTTTATTATGGCGACGAAAAGTTGATACACTTTTCTTGTTTCTCTATATTTCAGGATCTTGTGTTGCGGTTCGAGATCTACAGGAATCTAAAAAACCACAGGGGTTGTGTGAATACCATCAGCTTTAATTCAAGTGGTGACATCCTGGTCTCTGGTTCTGATGACAGACGGGTTATATTGTGGGACTGGGAAACTGGAAATGTTAAGCTCGCATTTCATTCTGGTCATCGGAACAATGTTTTCAATGCAAAGATCATGCCTTACACAGATGACCAAAGTATTGTCACTTGTGCTGCAGATGGGCAGGTATGGTCTTCTTAGGATGCAAATCATTTCTTGCGACATTTAATGAAATTTCGTCTTCTAAATTCTTTTATATTAGTGGTTGGTAAAAGCAGTGGTGTTTTTTGTGATCTGCGCTAACTTTTGGGCATAAGGTGCTGAGGTTTAGTAATTTGCCTCGTGCTTTTAACAGCCTATTATGTCAAGTAATGCCTTCTTTCTACATGTTTTAGCAATATGGGTTGGATTGGATATAGTTGCGTTATGATTATGTGCAATTCTTCTGATTTGACACCTCATTCGAATGTAGGTGAGACATGCTCAACTTCCAGAGAGTGGACCTGTCAAGACGTCTTTGTTGGCCAAACATCAGGGTAGAGCCCATAGATTGGCCATTGAGCCAGGAAGTCCCCATGTATTTTACTCGTGTGGGGAAGATGGGTTAGTTCAACATGTAAGTTTCCTATCTAGAAACACATATTGTGATATATTTTCTAATTAGATAAAATCTACTCTCTTGGAAAAGCCGCGATGCATGTTGACAATTATGCGTTTTGAAATATTCGTGAAGAAAAATTGTGATTATACTTTATGAAATATGTGTTTTGGAGAAGTTAAAAATACAAATACAAAGCTGTTAACATGCATGAACCATTTGATGATCATACTCAGACTTTTTCACAGATTTGCTTGTTTCCATTCTTCTTGTACTTCACGAAATTAAAACGTGTTGACACATCAAATTAAAAATGGTCGCATTTTCAATACTCAAATTGTTCATAGGATGTTATTCATATCTTTCTAATGGTTATGCAGAAGCGTAATCTAGTTGACCTGTCAGCTATGTGACATTGCCATTTTCTTCTTTTCCAGTTTGATCTTAGGACTAAGAGTGTCACAGAACTTTTTACTTGCCATCCAAATGATGATAGGGGAAGTCACATGCCGGTCATTAAGTTAAATGCTATTGCAATTGATCCAAGGAATCCAAATCTCTTTGCAGTTGCTGGGTCAGATGAGTTCACCCGACTTTATGATATCCGCAAGTATAAGTGGGATGGATCTACGGACTTTGGCCAACCCGCCAATTACTTCTGTCCTCCACATTTGGTTGGTGATGAACAAGTTGGAATAACCGGCTTAGCCTTCTCAGATCAGAGTGAGCTTCTGGTCTCTTACAATGATGAATTTATCTATCTCTTCACTCAAGACATGGGATTAGGTCCTGATGCAGTTACAAGTGAGGCAGTAGCATCCAATACAGATCTTAAGGAAAAATTTGAACCCCAAGTTTATAAAGGGCACAGGAACACTGAGACTGTGAAGGGTGTGAATTTCTTTGGTCCTAAATGTGAGTATGTGGCAAGCGGGTCTGACTGTGGGAGAATATTCATTTGGAGGAAACAGGGTGGAGAGCTCATTCGTGTGATGGAAGCAGATGAGGATGTGGTAAACTGTGTGGAACCTCATCCTCATGAAGTAGTGTTGGCGAGCAGTGGGCTTGAAGATGATGTCAAGCTATGGACACCAAAGGCTATTGAAAAAGCTACACTACCTACCAATATCCAACGGGTATGGCTCATCTTCGGAAAAAAACATTACAGTCCATCAGGAATGACACTGGTGATATTAATATATTGCTGCATTTTACTTTAGTGAACTTGAAGTCATTTTCAAAATGTAGTATGCTTGAGATATTCTCATCATACTTTGCTTCATGGATATAGACAATGAGACCAGAAAAAATGCAGATCATTTCACATATCGGCACGTGTAGGAGAAACTCAGTGTCATGAAACCTTAAAAGTTGTTAGCGGTGTTTTTATTAGAAGATGGGGAATCATTATGTGGTATTTCTAGTTCTGTTCAGATATCTGCAAGAAATTAGGCTTGGTTGCTTAAATGTGCATCTGTCACTATTTCTCCTTGCACTCACTTCTTGCCTTTTCCACCTTGCCATTCCTCTTCTGATTTTTATTAAGAACATGGAAAATGTTATTAACTCAATTTTGCTGCTCACTTGTGGGGATGGGAACCATTAAGTATATAATTTGGCTCAACTTTATCCCAGTTTTGCCTAGGGAGCAACCCCATTTTTCTACCTTGAATTGGTCAAAATATGCAGAATTTCTTACTTTTCGTGAAGGATTAGATCCAGTAACTGGGGGTCTATGGCTAACTGATATTGCTTATCGTCATTTAGCTATTGCAATTCTTTTCTTGATAGCAGGTCTCATGTATAGGACCGACTGGGGCATTGGTCATTGTATAAAAGATATTTTAGAGGTTTATAAAGGTCCATTTACAGGCCAGGGCCATAAAGGCCTATACGAGACCCGAACAATGTCATGGCATGCTCAATTATCTCTTAACGTAGCTATGTTAGGCTCTTTAACCATTTTTGTAGCTCACCATATGTATTCCATGCCCCCTTATCCATATCTAGCTATGACTATGGTACACAACTGTCATTGTTAATGCATCAAATGTGAACTGGCGGATTTGTCATAGTTGGTGCTGCCGCGCATGCAACTATTTTTATGCTGAGAGATTACGATTCAACTACTCAATACAACGATCTATTAGATCTTGTCCTTAGGCATTGCGATGCAATCATATCACATGTCAAGTGGGTATGTATATTTCTAGGCTTTCACAGTTTTGGTTTGTATATTCATAATGATACCATGAGTGCTTTATGGCAACCCCAAGATATGTTTTCTGATACCACTATACAATTACAACCCGTAGTTGCTCAATGGATACAAAACACCCATGCTTTGGCGCCTGGTGCAACCGCCCCTGGTGCAACAGCAAGCACCCATGCTTTTTTGCTCTCTCTCCCTATCCATCCATGTCTGTGTATGTTCAGTGTTTTCCGCCCTAACGTTTATCGAGTTCAAGGGGCAGACAATGTGAAGATATGTGTGGTGCTTGTTAGGACAAATTGTGCAATTGATATTTTATTGGCAATCATAGTGATCCTGGCTGCTTATTTTATTTGGTCAGTACAATGGTTCCAATGATTAATGTTATGGTTTCGATACTTCGTTTCTTCAGACGAGGCCGAAGGCCCTAGGCTGGATGTACAGAATATCTTCTCCCCAGGACCTGCTGTTGCAATTGTTTTCGATGGAAAGGCGAAGAACGGACCCGGGAGATGATAGAGATGACTCCTCTAGCTCCGCGACTGGTCGGGATCTCATGGAGCTTATTTTTACATTTAATGGAAACAATGCGAGTTCTTCAGATGATGGGGGCAATGCATCTGGTCCTGAAGACTTCTTTAGTTGAGCTCCTTGGATCGTCCGTCTTGCCTGTTGGGTAAACTCCCTAGGCGCTGTACATCCTTTTTCAAATGGACCTGCTTTGGCTAATCTCCTGTAAAAATTCACCATAGACCTGGTACTTGATGAGGAATGGCTTTCTGTGATTGCGCAATGAATAATTTATCGAGTATAGTAAGATTTGGATCTGATGCATGGATGATGGTCGAGATGATAAAGCCGTGTCCTTGTGAGGAACGGAATTGCGGGTAAATGTTGTTCTCGGTTATCGGTGTCAGGGCGAGAGGGAAAACATGTCAATGGAAGAAATTCTCTTATTCAGCAGGATAATACACTACAAGGATACTCGGTCCTAAATCTGCCAGGTCTTTGCACAGCCAACAGAATGGACCAATGGTCCGAATTGCATAACATACCTGAATCGAAATGTCGATTTTCAACCACTGTTGGGGTGGTCGGTACCGATACGGCGGCTTCAGCTATGCGATCATTTCCGGCGGGTCTGAGGGTGAGAGGCATGCTATGCAGAAGTTTCTTGTGCCCCATGTCCAAGAAATGTATGGAGTAGAAATGTATCCTCACCTAGACAATGCCAAAACGTTATAGATGGATAATGGAGCATGTTCTTTCTCAGAATAAATAAACTCAACAGGCACATACAAATTTACTTGGACAGAGTGTGAAGGTTTCAGAGGTCTCTTTACTTTTAAAAATTGTTTAATTAGTTCCTTCAAACTACTGTTTTTTTTGGCAGTTGCATCTTGAAACTGTGTTCTTATTGCTTGAATTGGTCCTTCCATCAAAGTTTTGGACGGAATTGCTGATATAACTATCAACTCCACACGATCGGTCGAACCTGGGTGGCCTAACCTCGACAACAGCCGGCAAGGGCTCGGCAACGGCAACCACTCGCCGACTCGTGGGAGGCAACGCCACCGCTCCCCGCAACCTTCCCCTTCTTCTCTCTTGTTTTTTTTCTCTCACGCGGTTTGGTTTTTTTAAAGTTTTTCAATATCTTATCACGTCAACACATTAATACTGCATATGAGTTCGGGAATCACGTTAAATAAATTAAAAATTTAAGAATGATATTACGTTAAATCAAAGTTTTTGTATGATTGTCGCCAAAGAAACCTATGTACTTTTAAGGATTCAATTGCACGAAAGGAAAGTCCAGGACATGAACGAACGGTTCGAAATTCTAGTTCGATGGCTTTACATGCTCTGTCGCTCGCGCTAACTCCAGAGTCCACCGGCAAAGTGAGACCGGACCGAGTTTGAGCTTCCCTCCTCCGACCGCCCCCGCCATTATCGGCGCGTCCCACGAACGTTTTGACGTTCTGCAAGCCCGAACATGGCTTCTTCACCGCTCGCTCACTACCCCCATTTCTGTAACTCCGGAACACCCAGAGGCCACCACCCCATCGTCAAGCCGAGAATCTCCAAGCCCGCAACCCCGAACAGGAACAAACCCAGCAAGCTGAGAAGGCAGAGCAGAGCTGACCATGTCGCGCTCAACAGAGCTCTCTCTGCGTTTGTGGATTCTGGGAGTTTGGAAAATGCGGTCCACCTGTTTGAGAATATGCCCCGCTCGGATGCCTACACTTGGAATGTGCTCATTAGAGGCTTTGTCAATAATGGGTTGTTTCGAGAAGCGATCGAGCTTTACCGGAGGATGGCACGTGAAGGGATTACGGCCGATAACTACACCTTCCCTTTCGTAGTCAAGGCGTGTGGGGGGTTGTCGGCTTTGATGGAGGGGGAGAAAGTTCACGCCAAGTTGTTCAAAGTTGGGCTGGATTTGGATTTGTATGTTGGCAATTCGCTCATATCCATGTATGCAGAGAATTGGCGTGCCGACTTAGCTGAAAAGGTATTTGGAGAAATGCGTGCGAGGGACGTGGTTTCGTGGAACTCCATGATCAGCGGTTTCCTTTCGGTGGGCGATCGTTGGAGCTCCTTGGCTCTTTTGCAAGAAATGCAAGTATTTGGCATGAGACCTGATAGATACAGCTTGATCAGTGCGCTTGGTGCCGCTTCTCTCGAGTGTTATTTGCGAAGCGGGAGAGAGATCCATTGCTGGGCGATTCGGAGTGGGCTTGAATCGGAGTTAATGGTTGAGACGTCTCTTGTCGATATGTACTGCAAATGCAGTAAAGTAGACTATGCTGAGAGATTGTTCAACAGTGCTTCTAAGGAGAACATTGTGACTTGGAATGCAATGATAGATGGATATGCTTCAAATGCTCTTCCTTCAGAGTCATTGGCTTGCATGAAGAGTATGCAGGACGATTGTAATTTGAATCCGGATAGTATCACAATGATTAACCTGCTACCGGCATGTGCACAATTAGGATCCCTCCGGATAGGGAAATCTGTCCATGGACACTCCATCAGAAAATGTTTTTTTCCAAATATGATCTTGGAAACTGCTCTTATTAATATGTATGGAGCCAGCGGAGGGGTGAAGGGGGCTAAGTATTTGTTTGGTAAAATGGCTGAAAAGAGTTTGATCTCGTGGAATGCGATAATTGCTGCCCATGTGCAGAACGGGCAGAATGAAGAAGCCTTAGGACTCTTTCAAAAGCTTCGGCGTGAGCCTTTGGAACCGGATGCAATTACAATTGCAAGCATTTTGCCTGCCTTTGCCGAAGTAGCATTACTGAGAGAGGGAAGGCAGATTCATGGATATGTTTCAAAGTTGGGTCTTGGTTCAAATACCTACATCTCAAATTCAATCATATATATGTATGCAAAATGTGGAGATCTGGGGACTGCTCAACAAATTTTTGACAAAATGCTGATTAAGGATGTTGTTTCATGGAATGTTATTATCATGGTTCATGCGATACATGGATGTGGTGCTAAATCCATTGCACTGTTTAAAGAGATGAAAACATATGGTGTTGAACCCAATGCCAGCACATTCTATTCCCTGTTAATGTCCTGCAGCATTTCCGGCTTGGTTGATGAGGGGTGGGGATACTTCAATCAAATGAGACGGAGTTATAATATTGATCCTGGTATAGAACACTACGGATGTGTGCTAGATCTGATTGGTCGCACTGGCAACCTTGACCGTGCCAAAGAGTTTGTCGCACAAATGCCTTTGGTCCCCAGTGCTAGAATATGGGGATCGCTGCTGACTGCTAGTAGAAAGCACGGAAATGTTGAAATGGCTGAATATGCTGCCAAGCACATCTTATCATTAGAACATGATAATACAGGGTGTTGTGTTTTACTGTCAAATATGTATGCAGAAGCCGGGCGATGGGAAGATTTCGAAGGCATCAAATCGCTAATGAGAAAAGAGGGGCTCACAAAGACAGTTGGATATAGTATGATGGAGAGTAGGGGTAAAATCTACAGCTTCACCAATCAAGATAAATGCTGTCAACACGCAAGCATGATCTATGAGGTATTGGACATTTTAAACAAGGGAATTGGGGCAGATAGTCATCTCACAAGAGTCACTAGGTTCAGACCACTTCATTTGGCAAAAGAAAGAGCAAAATCTGCTGCCGCTCACAGTGTAAGGCTGGCTATATCTTTTGGCTTGGTTTCTACAACGATAGGGAACCCAGTTCTTATCAGACAGAATACTAGAATTTGCGAAGATTGCCATTCTGCTGCAAAGAAAATATCGGATTTGAGTCGTAGAGAGATAATAGTTGGCGATGCAAAGGTTGTTCACCACTTCAGAGATGGATGCTGCTCTTGCAATGATTACTGGTGACAAAGTATTATGAAACACAAGTAGGAGAAATTGTAAAAACGATTGCCTAATATAGTTGTCCGAGGGAATAGAAAAGTGATCATTCCAAAGCATATGCACATGTACAGGTAAACAAGCACATACAAACTTAGTCCAATCTTTATGCTATGTGTGTATCATATGATACAAAAACGATGCTATTCATATAACTGCTCAACGAATTTATTCAGCAGACAAGATTCTGTCATCTTTGTTTTACATCTTTAATTAGTTTCCAAAGCCTATATATGGGTTGCAGAGAATGGCAAATAGGAAAAAAAAAACGATAGGGACTGTCACTTTTTCTGCGGCATGGCAGCTAATGGCTTGCAATCCTCCTGTGAGTTCAACTTTGTCCCTTGAGTATGGATATGTCTCCGGTAAGGCAATTGTTTTGCAAAAGCCTGTTCTTTTATTTTCGATAAACATTGGAAAGGCCATTTTTGAAACTGCATGTAGAGCTTTCATCTGTACTTCATATCGCTTGTACGGATCATTCATGATGTCTACTGTGCAAGTTAGATGGTCATTGGCTATGTAAACTCTCCATTAGACTGAATTGAAGGTGTGTATAAAAGGCTCTGACCTAGTACATCATGTAATAGACAACAAGATGGTAACTGTAGCTAAACCCAAATATTCCCTGTCACCAGATAAGCAATTTTATCCCTTTTTTGGGGCCTCTCAAATCCTATTATGTGCAGTTCTTGATATCTGTTTCCCCTCCAAAGGGGCTCCCAGAGAGCTTCAATTGAATCTCCATAATCACCTCATAAACCGTCCACAACTGTTGAGTTGGCGAGGCACATGCATGATGTACCAAAACAGATTCGGAGGAAGATTTGTCCTCTTGCTAGCATCTTCTCTTTACCAGCCAAGCTCCTCATTATTATCAACTTTATCATACCCAAGAATTCCAAGTGGCATTCACCTACATGAGGGGCAACAACTAAGAAAACCCTCAACAAGCTTTACTTTAACCGAGGACATAAATTAGCATTGTTCACATCACAACTCTCTTTCCAAGAACAAAGAGGAGATTCCATTCTCAATCATTGGAAAACTCTCCCAGTCTATAAAAAACATCGCTGTCTTTCTGTCCTTTTGTTTCGCATCCAAGCGAGTGGGGAATGATTAAATGGGAAAGATAAAAACAAAGCAACCCCTTTCAGCCCATTGAAGCAAAACTGCAGTCCAATGCTCTCAAACTCCATAATCCCAAAGAGTAGATTCATTCACTGAAGAGAAATAGGCATTGGAGAGAGAGAGAGAGAGATGGGTGTTGATCGATACATCACCTCAATAAACTCTCCAAGGAAGAGATCCACTACCCTGCAGTTTCTGTTCGATCACGACTCACGAAGCCCATCGCGCAGCAATAGCCCATCTCAGAGCATCAATTGGAGGCAGCACTCTGTGGAAGAAGAGATGCTCTCACTGATATCGTATTGTTCCTTTGTCTTCACTTTCACTGACCCTGTAGAGTCTCCTTCACAGCAAGACCAAAAGAGGTTTAAGCTCAACCAACTCCTCTACCTGGTGAAGACCTCGAAGAAGCCATTGGACTCTGAAGTATTGGAGCCCCTGATGTCGATGATCTCGGCCAACCTCTTCCGGCCGCTCCCTCCACCTTCCAACCTCTCATTCATATCGGACTTGCCTGACGATGAGGGCTTCATAGCAACCGCTTCGCCTGCGTGGATTCACTTCCAGGTCGTGTACGACATTCTCCTCCGGCTCGTCACAACCGCAGACCCAAAGAGGCTGCGAGACCAAGTCGACCGACCTTTCCTTCTGAACCTTCTCGCGCTCTTTCAGTCTGAGGATCCCAGAGAGCGCGAGAGCCTGAAGAATGTGTACCACATGATATACTCAAGATTTACCTTCCACCGTTCTTTCATGAGAAAGTCAATGAACGACGTGCTGCTGAAGTATATTTTTGAGACGGAGAGGCACTGTGGCATTGGTGAGCTGCTCGAGATTTACGGGAGCATCATAAACGGGTTCACGGTCCCTCTCAAAGAAGAGCACAAGCTGTTCCTGATCAGAGTGCTCATTCCCATGCACAAGCCAAAGGGCATGCTGATGTACCACAAGCAACTGAGCTATTGTGTGTCTCAGTTTGTGCAGAAAGAGCCTGTGCTTGGAGGGATTGTTGTGAGGGGGATTTTGAAGTATTGGCCTGTCACTAACTCTCAGAAGGAAGTCTTGCTCATTGGAGAACTGGAGGAGCTTGTGGAGAATATTGACCCTGATCAGTACAGGAAGTTGGCTCTGCCCTTGTGCACGCATGTAACAAGGTGCTTGAATAGTTTAAATTCTCAGGTAAAATGAATAGCTTTAAATCTTGCACTTTTAATTTGAATAGGAGTCAATTGATGAACACCTCTCCATATGACAGCATCATTTCCTTAAAAGCCTCGCGCATTGTGATGAAAGAGAACAATTTCTTTCAGATTAAAGCTGCCTGTAACCTTAATATATAATTGGATTATAATTCTGAAATGATTCTCACTCTGGCTTAAGATGTCCTTGTATCCTGTCCTTCAAAAATGCTTCCCCAATTTGTACCATGGACATGCAATCAACAGACTCGATGCTCCATATATTTTTTTCATCAGTTTGCCGTATTCTTAATTCTGAGGTTTGCCGACCATTTTATTTTATCGACGATGCATGTTTAGGTTGCGGAGCGGGCACTTTATGTGTGGAACAATGAACAATTTGTGAAGATGGTATTGTTGACCCTGGATGAAGTCTTCCCTGTGGTAGTTGAAGGCATGGAGAAGAATCTAAAGCGGCATTGGAGCTGCAGCGTACGACAACTCACGGAGAACGTCAAGGAAATGTTGGAAGAGATGGATCCGATACTGTACTACAAGTGCATCCTGGAGATGGAGCGACGAGAATCCACAGCTCGCAAGGAGGAAGTCAAGAGGAAGGAGAAATGGGAGAGAATAGAATCAAAAGCAGCAAAGAATCACTTCTTGTGAACCCCTGTACCCTCAAGAATGTACATCTATATACACTGAAGATAATACAAAAGAACAATCACTGGCTGAAGTTATCGCAGGATATTATTTAGCAACACAGTAACACAGATAAGCTCTGTCTCTGCTAATTTGACCTCTCCTGATAACAGCAAGCAACATGATCAAGTGTTTCGCTGAAATTGCAGTTTGTTTGAATTAATAGGCACCAAATTCCGAGTGCCTAGATGGCCATCGACCAGTTAAGACCTCAATAGGAAAATCCATCTCTCCAGCTCCCACTCTCCGTTATCATCATGTTTCTTTTTTAGTTTTTTGCATCGATCTTCCTCCCTCCTCACCAACAAACTTCCAAGGATCCGTCTGTGCTGCCAAGACTCCTGGCAGTATCTTGCATCCCCCCATACTCCAATATCTGCATCAAAAGTCAATACAATCCAACCTTGTGTGGAGATAAATCTAAAAATGCTCTTGCATCACCCTTTCTTGAATTTGTCTACTACAAAGCATGTAAAACTACATAGCCCACTTCTTTCTTAGGCACTTCAGCTGATTGTGGCAACGAACCTTGACTCTACTAATTTGCCGTCACTGAGTGACTGATCAAGATTATAAGAATGGATCTTTAAGGACAGGCCATATGCTCCAAAAATGCAGTCTCGCGTATGACAACAAGAGGTAAATCCCCCGAAACAAACACAATTTTTACCTCGGCTAGTGAAGATGGCATTGCTGGGTTTGGATGAATTTTTTCCTACAGTAGTTGAAGGCATGAAAAAGAATATGAAGACGCATTGGAGCAACACCATGTGGCAACACAGAAAACATTATGCTAGAACTGTACTAGAACTGCAGAATGAGAATCCACAGCTGACGAAGAGGAAGTCCAGAGGAAGGAGATGTGGGAGACAATACAATTCAACAAAGGATTAAATTTCATCGAGACTCTAACTTCAGGGATGTACATTTATTTCATCCAGATGAGAAAGCAAATGAACAATGTCCAAGTCATATCGGGATACTATTTAGAAACAATAGAAGCAGAACACCTGGGTTCTGTTTGATAACCTAATTAAGTGTTGAAAACTGACAATATTGGTAGGTTTTAGAAATATAGTTGGCAATATTTTAGTTGCTATCAATTATTTTTGCTATTGAATGAATCACTTGATTCATTGCCAACTATATTTCTAAAACCTACCAATAATTGTCATTCTTGTATCTTTGGTAAGAAATTAAAAACATTTAGCTATCACTTTTCAATTATCGTCAAATAACTTTTCGATTCTATTTTCAGCAATTAAGATTATCAGCACTAAAAATTCAGTATTTAATATTTCAGCACTTAATTTTCAGTTTTATTTGTGTTAATTCGACCCTTAGCATTTCACCATTCCAGTTTCCTTTGCTCACTAAGCAATTTATTTCCTCATAATGAAGAATATTATCGCAAAATCATCATTTCTGTAAAGTTTTGGACATTCATAGCCAATATATCTCCATGCTACATAACTTCTGCCAAGGATCGCTCTGTGCTGCCACTACTACTACCACTATCTTGCGTCCTCTCGTGCTCCAAGACATATCAGCATCGAAATTTAATACAATGTCATGCGAATGGGGGTTAGTAAATCTGAAGTTTTCTTACATCACCATATTGTGAATTTGCCTTCTACAAAGTATGTAATACCGCATATCCCACTACTGGATTAGAAAGTCAGCTGATCCCAGAAAAACCTCGCCCCTACAAATTTACAATGACCAAGCAATTACACAGTACAAGAAGAAGTCTCTAAAATTACAGTCCAGTATGAAAATTGCCAGGTGTATCCCCTAATGAAAGTAACATATCGCGTTACCTCAGCAATTATGAGCAATGTGTTCTGACTGTTTTCAGCAATAGAGAATAATGTTAAACATTGTCCAGATATGCCAATCGCAGCCTTCAGGTCCCACCAGTATCAAATGCAATATCAAGTATTCGCTATGGCACACCATCAACATGAAATTTGCTGTCAGTTGCTACCATCAAAGTATGCCCATCATGTGCTCTAACCATCCCAAGTCACTGCTACTTCAACAGATTGGAAGAAAGAGAGAATAATGAGAAACAATAAAGACTGATTGCTGATGTATCTACCTAAGAAGTGAAACCTTACCCTTACATTATAGGCTGAGGATATCAAAGCTACACTGTACATAATGTACTCCTCAGATGCTTTTCCCCATCACTTTTGCCTTGCTGCAGCCTGCCCAGGATCTCACAGTTACACATGTAGAAATATGAAAAGTAAAAGGAGACCAAAAGAAGAAAGGGAGCTCTACTGTAGTATCAGGTAAAACAATTCCATAACCGCAAAAAGAAGGCAGACCAAAACATTGACAACTAAGGGTCAGATTGCTGCAAGGCAATACAATGTAACCATATTGTATGCCAAAACAGTACTTTATGCATCTACTTCTACCACGTCAACAAATGCCTCCTCCCCACACTAAACATTAATGAGACTATGATCAGATCCATGATAGAATAGCAACTATGAACGATAAATTATCCAGTGAGAGGAACTTCTTTTACCAGTTCATTGGTCCAAAACAATTAATGTTATACCCCCAGCCAAAGGGCAGGGAAATGAAAAGCTATAGCGACATCTTTACAAGTTAAGAACTTTGCAAACCTTGGATAACTAAAAGTTTGGGTTGTACTTTTTGGTGGCTTTTTTGTTTCAAAAGTAACATCCATTACTAATATGGAAACAGATGCTAAATGAAGATTTTAGAGCTTCACAACCTGATAGTGCCAATTTCTTCTCCTTCCGCTGAGTTTGCATCGTTAAAAAGGATTAGCTTTAAGTTTCAATGTCTATGGGGATCCCGTTCATTTTGTTTTCCAACTTAGCTCCTCCGTCATCTCTCTTTAGAGTCACAATTAACAATTAATAATTAATATTTTCCTAATAAGTTTACATGCTGCAACTGAAAGCTATAAGCCAATTCCACCCATGTTACTGAAAACATTCCCAAATCGGTGTTTTTGGTACGGATTTTCAAAGTAAAAGCTTCCAAATCTTTCCTTGCATTTGTCACTCCCTACTTAAGGCTGACTATGAATGTTGTGAAGGATGTTTGTAAATTTGGTTAATTGAGTAGTGAGAAAATCATGCTACGCCAATAGACACAGATAGACATATTCAAAAAAGACGAGAAAAAAAACCCTTTTATGGCTTAGACACTAGAAGTGAATATGCTTTTCCACATACTCATGCTAAGTTGATGCTATTTCTTTCACCTCAAACTTTAATCTTCTTCATCATATTAAAGTTGAGTCTACATAGAGTAGAAGATTGAAAAGAATGCATTTATCTGCAAAGCAAGAATAGGTCCTTGCCTTTTGGAGCTTCTTCATCACAGAGTCCTCAAAATCTTGATACCCAGCCCCCACAAGATCATTGCGAAGATCTTTCTCCACAGGCTTGTTGACGCTTGGGAAATTTGTTGCTACAACTGGCTGAAGAGGGACGACCAACAAAGGATTAGAAAGATCTCCACACACGGTTCTTGTGGCAGCAACCTAGAAAAAGTGACATTCATCATAAGGGTATTGCCTAAATTGCCAAGTAATATGAAATGAAGGTAGAGGGTAAAAAGACATACAGCCGCATCTTTAGATGCCATTACGACAAGTGCAGATCTTTTCTTCCTAGTGACAATATCTTCAACCTCACCAAACGCCGAAAACAACTCCTTCAACCTCTCTACGGTATAGTCAGGGCCACTCATCTCCCAAGAAACTTTGAGAACCTTCTCCTTGTCCAGACCAACCCCACCACTGCTCTTCCTATCCTTTCCCTCACTAGCAGCCTGTCCCTTCGAGGACGCTGGAGGAGCGCTTTTATTTGCATGCATAGCCCGAATCCTTTCTATCTCTTCTCTAAGCTTCCTAACGATCCTCTCCTCTTCATTTTTTGCTTTTGCAGCAGAGTCAGGAGCAAAAGCCGCTCGCTCTCTTTCTTCAAGATCCGAGACCATTTTCCTCCGCTTTGAATCTTGCTGCGACCGGCGAACGAGCTGCTCGCGCTTGACCCTCAGAAGATCGTCGAACAGCTTCCGGGCTTTCTCGTCCTTCAGAATCTCGTAGGACGATTTAAGCTTCTGGAAATTCGCGTGCGCGTCCGGATCATCGGGCCTCTTGTCCGGGTGCAGCTCCAAAGCTTTAGCCCTGTAGGCCTTTGAGATCTCCTTCTCGGACAGCTTGGCGCCTTCTTCCCCAGAAGGCAACCCCAGAACACCGTAATGATCCACGTCAACGTCCATATTTCCGGCCTGCCCACGGAACAAACAGCTGACTAATGAGCCGACACGAAAAAAAATCGAAACTTCCGATGCACAAACCCCCGCGACGAGAAAAAGAAACTGCTGAACACGCGACACGAGAATGCCGTGCTGGATCACTGAAACCCGCAAAATATCCCGCAAAATTTCGATTTTTTTTTTTCGGTACGATGGGGGGAAAAAGGCCACCACCAAGCTACAATCTCAACAACCACAGCTAGTTCGCGACAGCGCAATACAGCGACTCCATGGAAATTCGTCTTCCAGAGAAAGGGAAAGGTACAGACAGAGAGGGAGAGAGGGAGAGAGAGAGGGGGTAACCTGGACTTCTTGGAGAGGAGCTTGTTCTCGTTGATCTTGCGGCCGCCGCCCTCGGTGGTGTTGCTGGCTCCGTCCTTCCACTTGTCCGGCACTATCACCTGACAGCTTCTTCTCACCTGAACCCAAAATTCAGACACCCAATCAGAGACACCCAACACAAACGCGAACCCTAACAGAGGCGTTGCAGAGCTAGAGAGAGAGAGAGAGAGAGAGAGATACTGACCTCGACTCGGAACACTCGCACAAGAAATCGAAACGGAACGGGGAACAAAATCGCGAGGAACCGCACTCACTCCGTCACGGGACTCAGGTGCTCCGAGAAACAGCCGCCGTTCCCGAGGCGGGAACGGCCGGGAACGGCGCCGGAGCTCCGATCCGGCAGCTACGGACGCGCGAATCGATCGGCGGCGCGGCGCGACGAGGCGGACGGCGAGGGGGCGATCTGCGGCGCTGCGTGCAGAGCAGAGATCGACGGAGAACTCGATGTCGTTTCGCGTCGGGAAGAGGGAGGTTGGATTGATGTGAGGAAGTCGGGCATGTGAGAACTCAAATTGTCAAAACAGATCGAGAGGGTTTTTGTTTGGTTCGGTTTAACATTGGAATAGTCGGTTTTACCAGTGGATTAGACCTATCATAATAAATCATAAAATTTATTTTTTTAATCTATATTTGATGGTTTTGATATTATATGATTTAGTTATATTTAGTAAATTGATCATAAATTGATTTAGAATGATAAAACTCAAAAATTATGAGTGTTAAATAGATTCACAACTTCTCTTCACTTGATCTTGCATTCGCTCACTCCGTGCTCTTATCTCAGTTTGGATATGAGTTTTCATAAATTAAATTAAATATGGAAGTGTTTTAATAATATGGGTTTCGTTGGATATGGGTCGCTAAATTTGTATTACATGAAAATTGATTAATTTTGGTCAAACCATTTTGGATCCGACATAAACCCGACCTGACCCACCCGTTTGACGGGTTTACCATGGACAAGATCAATTAAGCTAGTTTTCACGATTATTAGGCAATTCTATGACTAAATTTAAATTTGACTCGAATTTAGATGGATTTGTTGGGGTTGAATTCTAGATGGATTAGAAGGAGAAGGAAAATGCTAAAATTCGATCACTCTTTAAAATTAATTAAATAATGAAGAATGATTAATTTTATTATTTCTGCTGACTGAATTTATTTCTAATCCATCTATAATCAATGGATTCTTTTCATTACTACTGTCAAATAAAAAAATTTCGATTAGAATGGAGACCAACCTTTAACCAACTAGCTTATTCTCGATTTTACACTTTGGTTATGTTTGGTAAACAGGATAAAATTCAGGATATCCTATCCTAAGTTTGGTGTCTGCTCCAGATATGATAGGAATATAACCTGAATAAAATTATCCCGTGAGAGAGAAGGTATTAAGGTAGATAGGATTTTTAATATTCTTAATATGGAAGTTATTTTTCTCAAATTACAAACTTCTTAAATTAATAAAATTAAAACAGTAATTGAATATAAATAATATTTGAATTCTAATATAAAAAATTCAAAATAAAAAGATTCATTTTTATTTATTCCTATTTTTATTTATATTCGAACTATCTTATACTATAAATTTTATATTTTTTACATATTTATGTATTTTAGTATCTTACGTATATTGGTATAGTTTACTATTTAATGAAATTTTATTAGAGAACGATGGAAGAGGAAAAAATAATTAAAAAATAAGCAAATACAAATGAAGTAGGCAAGAGTGTTGTGAAATTTCTTACCATCTCAATTTGTGCAATTTTTAAGTTCATTTACAATGATATATTGTTTATACTAAACAATGGACATTATAGGATGTGAAAATATCCGATTTTATTATTACAATTCACCAAACATCGTATATGATATAACAAAATATCTGGATTTCATATTTTCTAATCTTAGCTAGAAATCCAGATGACCACACGTAGCTTTTGGGTATAAATCAGGCTCTCAATTTCACTCCCAGAATCGGATCGCCGAACACGCACACGCCTCTCGATTAAAAGAGTGTTGAGTTTGATTCAACATTTGAGAAAAAATCTCTGAGTAAATTATAAAGAATTTGAGCCTGAAGTGATTTCATGAAAAGTAAAAACTGTTCGATAAACTCTACTTCAAATTAAAAATTAAAACACTTAAAATTGGTCATACCAAACTCTACTTCAAAAAGCGCTTCGAGAGAAAAGCCATTTTGGTGGAAACATAATTAAAAGGTAATTTAATTAAAAACCAGGCGTAACCGACGGTGAGCAGGACGTACCGGGGCACCTCTGGCTCGGCGAAGTACCTCAGCGTAATTAATTTGGAGGAGTGCCACGTAAGTAATCCACCTTTTTTCTCCTATTTTAAATATATATTGATAATAAAAAATTAGTAAGATTTGCAACCTTCTCCTCTTTTTATTTTTATTTTTTTCTATACGTGACATGTATCCACCTAATTAGTTGTTGTCACAAAAAAAAATATATATATATATATATATAAAGAGTGTCGGACGCGTGTGTCTGACATTGACACAGAGGCCCCCGAAGAGTATCCGTGTTACCTAGCTTAATCTTAAAAAACAACAGTCTAATGGGTTGATTTTACAGAGTCAAACAAGCCCAAACCTAAACATGGAAAACGATGGCCCCCGCGTTACTCATATTGAAAACTTTTCGAGCTTGCGTTCTTACAAAAGCCAGACCCGTAAGAAAAGGGCAAAAGCTAACAAAATCCTGAACTACGTTTACTGGGGGACACGTTTAACCTAAACTTTTTTTTTCGTGACACTAGAAATCCCAATGAGTGACACATTTACCCTCCTGTCAAATTAAAAACATGCTTACATGAACGCCAGAAGGCAAACGGTGTTGATCTGGCGCCCCACGTGACTAAAGTGACAGTAAAGGGATGCTAAGATGCCAGGGAAAACGAAGACAAGACGTGTGCTAGGTATGCTATCCCACACATAAACGGCTCTTCGGGCCTTTATAAAAAAGGGACTGCCTTTTAGCTTTATAGTAGCAGCAGAATTCTGATGTTGAAAATTCATTTAACGAAACCTTGACGGAAGGTAAATATGTCACATGGGTACAAATTTTGGGTTTTTTTATGTCACGAGAAAAAGTTTAGAGTAAACGTGTCACATGGGGCATAGTGTTTGGGGTTTTTGATGTCACAAATTTTTTTTAGGGTAAACGTATCGCAATGAGCATAATTTGAGATTTTTTGTAGATTTTTTCCCGTAAGAAAAACGAGCACACACAAAACTCAAATTCTCTATTCCCGACATCGAATCGGATCATCTTCCCCATCCTTTCCTCGTGGGGTCGAGAGTTCTCGTGAATAAACTTTTCGCAGCATGCTTAATAGTAGTAGCTCTGTGACTTTTCCACAAGGAACAAGATCCCCCATCCCTTCCCTCAACCTCCGCCATAGTTTTCTCGTGCATGTCTTTGGACTTCTGAGCTTATGGGGGTCCGGTTGGATCTTCTTATTGCTCTTTTGATTGAGCCTTCCATGGAGATGCGGGGCCCGGGTGACCGGACTTCGAGGTCCGGGCGACCAATTACTAGCGTGGAGTACGTGCCCGATCCTTCTCTGACCACGGTTCGGGCGACCGGAGTTACTTGTGCGAGCGCCCCCGATGGTGATAGGGATTGAAAAATTAGCCATTTAACGGCTAATTAAGCTTGATGAGTATAATATGTCGCTCTCTAGATTGTTCGAAGTTGGAACATGAACTAGACCCAATCTCTTACTTACTCTAGCTCTTATTGACGACATTGCAATCATATTGCTGATCAAAAAATCATTGTATTAGAGCGAGCGATACTTAAGGGAGAGCTCTATCGCCACATCGAGAGCGTATGGAGAGTTGGACTCCAAAAGCTCGATCCCAACCGTGGCAATCAAGCTTCGATTAGTGAATTGGGCAAGACCCGTGGATAGATTCGGGGAATGGAGTAGGCACTGATTGAGGTCGAACCACTATAAAATTGGCTAGCCATTCCTCTCTTGCTTTTTATCTCTTTTCCTTAGCCCGTGCCTTGCGCGAGCATGTCTGTTTGCATATTCTAAATTCGGTTAGTCACCCGATAAAATTAGACGTGACGTAACAAAGAAACGGGATTTATTCGGTAATATATATATTTTTCTACAGGAATATCATACTTCATGGAGCCTAAGAATAATATGTGGCGGAAAAAGAAGTTATAATGTTATGTTCGTAGCAAAACATAAATAAAAAGAGAACGATTTTAGCGTTGAATTATGGAAGCTATATTTTAAATAAGTCTATTCAAACAGTAGACCATAAAACCAAAAAAACTTACAAATGCTTTATGTTTCAAATAAGTTGCAATTTAATTCTTTTTTAGATTAGATATTTCATTGCAAATTTGATATAAATATCAACTGCTTTGGTACTTTTTATAAAACCATAATACTTTATGGCTTGAGTGACTATCATGTGATTCGATATCAATTATAGAGAAAGAAATTACAGAAATCATCTTCGAGTTTGCCTTTCAAGTACTTTCCTCGTATTTAAAATCTACGATTATCATCCTCACTTTTTACAATACAAACATAACCGTAAATACCGAGCCGCTATCTTTCTTATTCTTTTTCTTGCCATCACCCTTTGGCAATTTCTCTCTATTCCTTACTATTTTGACTTCATTTTTTTTTTAATATTAGTCTTTTTATTATTGATTTTTATTTTTTAAATTTAATATTGCGTTTATTTGGCTCCTCCTAGCCAAGTGTTGCCTGCGAGAAAAGTTAAAGAAAAAAACTTACCACATGGTTTTGCATCCAAGAAGAATAGATGGAGCTAATGAAATGACTGGCATGGAGGATAATGACAAGTTTCATGATTTAAATGCACAAATTAAAAATAATAATAGGACTTAAGTATGGGATCAACGTAAATTTTAGAGCTTCTGCTGCGATTGTCCTTATCTCTTAAAACTAAATCTCTTGTTTTCACCCAACTATATTTGTATTACTAGCATTTTCTCTTTATCTTTTAATAGGAGGAAATTGATTTAGCATTTCTTTTGTTAATGAGAA